GGGGGGGGGGGGGGGGGGGGGGGGCGACGGTGGAGGGGAAGGGGGAGGACAGCTGTGAGAAAACCTAGCCAAGTAGACTTTTGTAAATCGACGATGGTAAGACGATAAACCTGACTTGGATTCCGAATGTCTGATTGTTCTTGTCCTGATTTCAATTCGATAAAAAGAATGCTTCCGAAATTAGATGAAATGTGAGGTCAGGCGTATTGGAATGCTTTAGTCTTTTCTTTATTCGGAAAATTAGAACGAGAGATCGTGAATAATCTTTCTAGGTCAACGAACTCAACCTGCAGAATTGGATTCATATTGTTAATTATTCAAACACCATAACGATATTTTCATTATGGGTTGAATAATTGGTGACAGGATTGGATTTTTTTATTGGAGATGTAGAATTGCTTCCGTCGAAGTGAATGAAATTCTCGCCTTTTTCCCCTCAATTTTTTGGCCATTTTCAGACAGGAATGTGTTCAGGTGGCAATTGATGTCTGGACAGGAATTTATTTCCAGACAGAATTTTATTTTCGGATATAAATTCATATGAAGGCAAGAACTTCTGCCCAGACAGGAATTTATTTCCGAAAATACAGTTCTAATTGGACATGAATCCCTGTCCGAACATAAATTTATGTTCTGACCGGAATTTATTTCCATACAAAATTTCATTTTCAAGCAGGAACTTATGTCTGGACAGCAATTGATTTCCGGGCATAATTTCATGAACGGACATAAATTTAATTTTCAAACAGGATTCGTGTCTGAAGAGAAATTTAGGTCCGGATAGGAATTCATCTTCCGACAGGAATTCATACCGAGACAGTAATTTACTTCCATACAGAAATTTATTTTCAAACCTAATTTCATGCCTAGAAATGAATTTAAGTTCGCACAGCAACCAAAAATATTCGATTTTGCATCCTGATTTATTATGTCAACAGAGCTGAGGGTCAACTTAAACGATCCAAAGCTTTCGATCATCCGGAGATATTTCAAGAACCATAAAAATCCCCACCGTCACAATAAAAAATTCAAAGACTTCACGAGAAATCAACAATGCACCCGCGAATATCTTCCTCGAATCATTCGTAAGCTCGTGCTCACCTTCACCAAAACATCCCGACGATTGATATACTGTGATTCTCAGTGTGCATATTACCGGGAGAATACGAGGAGACTTGCCAAAGTGATTTCGACGCCACACAAACGACCCTTGGCCGTCAGCCGTAATGGCATCTGATGAATGCATTGCACTTCGCTTATTACAGCCAGTTCTCGTTGTCAATCTCACAATAAGATTTGTAAAATTCATGGAAAAAGTATCCTCTGTTTTACATTTGTAAAATGCCTTCGTTCCACTTCATTCCCGGGTGAACGAATTTAACTTGTCCTTTTTGCGCTGAAGTTTTCCCTCAGTTTGAAAAAATTCCAATGCAACTCTATATGCGAATTTTCAGGGGTACAACCTTATCGCGATGCGCAGGGACTGGAACTCGGCCAACTGCCGGGGCGTTCAAGCACTCCCGGGCATCCCGGACCATCTCACCAGCGGAATCTTAAGAATCTCGTGGACGTTCTTGTTGAATCATGATTCAATCTTTTTCATTCTCTTCTTCATTTTTCTCTGTTATAGAGTGGAAAAATAGCCCTTCTTAAATCATCGATTTCTCCGGAACTAATGATGCGATTTTGAAAAATCAAAGCTCGTTTTGACGAATGGAAAATTATCTTTCAAATACAAAGAAAATGTTGGATTTCAGTCTTCCGATCTCGGGTTGCCGACGATCAAAAACCGTGAACTAGCGATTTTTTTCAATTTCAATTTTTCAAATTATTGAATGAGTTTTCCGTTTCGTCATTTTTATTCAAGTTGATATCTACTTCATTTATTCATCTTTTGCTTGAGAATAGAAGCGTGGTGATCGTTCAAATTTAAGTTTTGGATTTTTGGTGTTATATCGACCCATTATAATCCAAAATAATCAAAAAATTGGTTAAAAAGAAATCTTATTCAATTTAATAAAATGAAATAAGCAATGAATTATGCATGATAGAAGGAAATGATGTGCAAAATAACTATTCGAAAGCATATTGCTAATTTATTAGCGAAAATAACTCTACTATATGCAATGCAAGGGCAATTTCCCACTTGTTATTATTACCGAGAGCGAAAATCCACTCTACGATTTTCTCTTCTGTTGGATATGAAATCCTTTTGATACTAATTATCTATTTTATAGAAGAACTTGAAGAAAGTTATTGTGGAGAATTTTTATCAAACGACAATTCCACAGGAATTTCAAGGAATTCAAATTATTTCATGAGCTTTAATCGAAATCAGAAGAATGACAATGGAAAAATCCCTTCAAAATGAAAAAAAAATTGTAAAATTTCACTACCGATCAAAGACTTTTTACGACCGGTATATTGAACATCTATATTATCCCTTGGGCTATTTTACTCGGTCAACCTTAGATGTTTTTAAGGCATAAATTACTTGGAAAGCGGGATGCTATATGCTATCCATCGACTTTCCGGACCTCTATATGAGGGAAATAATTGAATAATTATCAATGCACAAATTAAAAAATTCGGAGGCACACCGAGTAGAATAGCCCAAGCGATAATATAGATGTTCACTACCGATCTCGGGTCATCAATGATGAACTGTCTATTTTTTTTCAATTGCGTGGAATTGCTGATTAATCAATTTCAATACTTTCAGTGAGATTCAATGTCATTCTGATTGCAACACGAGTGAAGCAAATCTCACACTAGAACTCCTTAGTCTCGCGTGTACGTAAGATATATTCGTACTGACTATCCTTCGTTCACATGTCTTCCCTGTTTAACTTGATAATCGGCTTTGGAGTATTACATTTCAACATGCTCAATAGATTTTTCCATTTCTTCGCATTTCATTTTTACAACTGAGTGTTGTGGATATTTGGGTCGGTAAACTTGGTCGTTGAATTAGTGAGGAAGACTTACTAATTTGGGTCGGAGCCCTTGGCTTGTCATTAAATCAAGGAGACGAGGTTCGATGAACTGAAATTCAGTCGGTGCCCACAGCTTGTCTCTTCGATTCTATGAATTATTAGAAGGACAATGGCTTTGTTGGGCTTCGGGACGGGGGATTACGATTTGGCATACTAATTTTAACACTCATCAATATTTATTGGAAGGTCTAGGGGGAGATGAGTGCCACGAAGGGACTTCTTGGGAATTTTTATCAAGTCTCGGGGGAATTTCACGGAATTTTGTCATTGAGAATTCGGTGTTTGATCGCAAAATCAATTCCAATTACTTCACTAAAATTAATAAAAATCAGTTTATTGAGAATTTTTCATAATTTGGTAGGGGAGGGTCGGG